ATCATATGAATCCCATGGGAACCGTATAGGAGTCGCATGGGCATCTCATGAATGCTATAGGGATCTTATAGGAACCCTATAGGCATCACATGAGTCATATAGGGATCTTTTAGGAAACCTTTGAATCCTATAAGGGTCCTGTAGGAATCGTAGGATTCCCATGGGAATCATATGAATCTTATACGAATCCGATAGGAATCTTTTAGTTCCTATATGGATCCTGTAGGAAGCATATGGGAATCATCTGGGAATCTTATGCGTCCTATAGGAACCCCATCGGAATCGTATACGAATCATATGAACCACATAGGCACCCAATAGGCATCCAATGGGAATCTGGTGAATCCTGACAGAATCCAATGGGAAGCGTAAACGGAATCTTTTAGGTTTTTTTTGCATCCTATAGGGGTCTTGTCGGAAGCCTGCAGGAACCCGGTAGGAATCTTATGAATCTTATAAGAACCTTATATCTTGGACTTTGGATCTTGGATCTTGGATCTTGGCTCTTGGATCTTGGGCCTTGGACCGTGGATCTTGGACCTTGGACCTTGGATCTTGGATCTTGGACCTTGGATCTTCGACCTTGGATCTTGGATCTGGGATCTTGGGTTTTGGATCTTGGGTATTTGATCTTGGATCTTGGGTACTTGATCTTTGATCTTGGGTATAGAATTTGTATAGGGTTCGTATATGATTAGTATAGGATCCTTTTGGATTCTCAGGATCCAATCGGAGTCGTAGAGGATTCGTGTAGGAGTCGTATAGTATTCGCATATGACCCCATCGGATTTCTAGGAGTCGCATCGGATTCGTATAGGGTTCGTATATGATTCGTATATGATTCGTATAGGAGTCGTATAGGATTCGTGTAGGAGTCGTATAGGGGTCGCATAGGATCCCATAGGCATTCTAGGATTCGCATCGGATTCATATAGGACCCGTGTCGGATTCGTACAGGAGTCGTTTCGGATTCATGGGGTTCCTTTAGGATTCCTATAGGATTCCTAAGAAGGCTTCCTATAGGATTCCATCGGATTCCTCGAGGCTTCCTGGGATTCCCATGGGAATCCGGTAGGATTCTTAGGGTTCCTCTAGGATTCCTACAGGCCTCCTGCTTCCTAGGATTCCCATAGGATTCCCATAGGATTCATCGGATTCCTACAGGATTCTTAAAGGCCCTCTTAGGATTTCGATACGAGTCCTAAAAGCTTCTTAGGATTTCCATCCGAATCCTACAGGTTTCTTAGGATTCTTACAGGATTTTTAGGCTTCCTATCGGATTCTTACAGGATTTTTAGGCTTCCTATAGGATTCTGAAGAGACTTCCTCGGATTCCTATAGGATTCATATTAGAATCCGATGGGATTCGTAAGAACCCTAGAGGAATCCTGGAGGCTTCCCATAGGATTCCCAAAGGCTTCTTAGGATTCCCATCGGACTCCTGTGGGATTCGTAAGACTCCTATAGATTCCTAGAGGCTTCCTATAGGATTCCCAAAGGCTTCTTTGGATTCCCATCGGATTCCTAAAGGCTTCCTATCGGATTCCCAAAGGCTTCTTAGGATCCCCATCGGACTCCTATGGGATTCGTAAGACTCCCGTAGGATTCCTACAGGTTTCCGATGGGATTCCCATAGGATTCCTATAGGATTCCTGTAGGATGCTGGGAATCCTAGTGGCTTCCTAGGATTCCTACAGGATTCTTACAGTATTCCTAGAGGCTTCCTATAGGATTCCTATCGTATTCCTAGAGGCTTCTTAGGATTCGTGGGATTCCCATAGGAATCCTAGAGGCTTCCTGTAGGATTCCCATAGGAATCCTAGAGGGTTCCTGTAGGATTCCCATAGGAATCCTAGAGGCTTTCTATAGGATTCCCATAGGAATCCCATAGGACTCGCAGGATTCCCATCGGAATCCCATAGGACTTGTAGGAATCCCATAGGAAGCTCGTAGGATTCCCATCGGATTCGTCGGATGCCCATCGGATTCTCGTAGGATTCTTAGGATTCCCATAGGACTCCTACAGGATCCATATAGGACATATAGAGGATTCCTAAAAGTTTCGTATCGGATTCATAGGAATCCGATCGGATTCCCATAGGAATCGTAGGATCCCCATCGGATTCCCATAGGATTCCAGAGCTTCGCTGGTGCAGACATTGCAACATGGCGTGAAGGATGGATCCACCTTTCATAGAGGTGGAGTTTTTTGTTTTTTTGATTGAACCCGGACCGTTGTTGTGTTGTGTTGTTCCGGGGGGGGGGAGGGGGTCCCCGGACGCTCCGGGGCCTGGGAAGGGTCCCTGCCCCCAAAGGAGGAGAGCGCTCAAGGAGCCCGAGCGCCGGGGCCCAGGCAAGGTCCCTGTCCTGGTTGTTGTTGTTGTTGTTGTTGTTGTTGGTGTTGGTGTTGTTCTTGTTCTTGTTGTTGCTGTTGTTGTTGTTGTTGTTGTTGTTGTTGTTGTTGTTGTTGTCGTTTTTGTTGTTGTCGTTGTCGTTGTCGTTGCCGTTGTTGTTGTTGTCGTTGTTGTTGTTGTTGTTATTGTTGGTGTTGGTGTTATGGTTGTCGTCGTCGTCGTCGTCGTCGTCGTCGTCGTCGTCGTCGTTGTTGTTGTTGTTGTTGTTGTTGTTGTTGTTGTTGTTGTTGTTGTTGTTGATGTTGTTGTTGTTGAACTTTCATTTTTGTAAAACTATGGTTGATCCCCCCGCCTGGTGCACATTGTATATTTCGATTGAGGTGCCCCTCCCGGGGCTCGCACCCGGTTTTTTTTTATCAGGGAAATTCTTGAGGCTCAAACTGTGTTGTTGGCCCCCGGTTTAAAACAACAGTTGCTCCCGCCTCATTCTTCCTCACAATTTATTGAAGAATCGCGCTCTCGCTTGGGGCTTTTGGGCAATTTGCCACCAAATCGCGGCTCCCGCTGGATACTTCTTGACCATTTATTGCAGAATCGCGTTCTCGCTTGGAACTTCCTCGCAACTTACCACCGAACCGCTTCGCTTGATAGTTCCGCACAATTCATTCAGATGCCGGTCCTCGACACTCAGGAATCGCGCTCCCGCTACATACTGCCTGGCGGTTCAAGCAGGCCTCACGCTTCAACGACCCGCCCGCTCGACCCGCCCGTCGGGGCCTGCCCGCCCGACCAGCCCGTAAGTGACTGCAGTCGCCGCTCGCTGCCCTTCGCCCGCCTTCGATGCCCCTCGCTGCCCGTGCTGGTTCCGCGGTCGCCTTCGCTCGATGCCCTTCGTGCCCCCGTTGCTGCCCTCAGTGGTTCCGTCGCTGCCCTTTGTGCCCCGCATTATATGCCCTTCGTGGCCCCCGTTCGCACGCGCCCGTGGTGGTTCCATACGCATGCCCTTCGTAGCCCCGCTGTCGCCCGTGTGGCCCCGTATACGAATGCCCTTCGTGGCCCCCGCTCGCTCGCGCCCGTCGTGGCCCCATATGCATGCCCTTTGTGGCCCCCTCGCTGCCCTTCGTGGCCCCGGTGCTGCCTTCAGCGGCCCCGTCGCTGCCTTGTGTGGCCTCGGATTTTATGCCCTTGGTGACCCACGCTGGCTTTTCTCACGATCTACTTAGGAATCGCGCTATCGCTCGCGATTTCCTCGCGATTCATGCAGGACCCACGCTTCAGCAACCCGCCTGCTCGACCTCGTCGCCTGGGCCCGCCTTCCCGACCTGCCCGCTATGGGTCTGCCCACCCGATCTGCCCGTCTGGTTCTACCACTTGTTTTCTGCTTCTTGCCCCCCTCCTGCTAATTTCTCTCGTGCTCCATTACTCTCCCTCCCCCTTCCACCCGTCCTCTCTTCCCTTGTTTTAGGGGCTGCACTGAATACACGTGGCAGATAAGGAAGATATGCCCCCAAGGGGGTATGATCGAAGACGACGAGGGCGGGTACCGAGGGTTTGGGATATACGTGGTGATTAGCACGTGAGCAGAAAGGAGCTAACAGTCTTAAACTGATTATTGTTGTTGTTGTTGTTGTTGTTGTTGTTGTTGTTGTTGAATATTATTACTTCTAAAGAATAATTATTGTTGGGCCCCCTGGTGCACGCCCCCCCTGCGCCGCCTAGGCCGCAGCTACATTTTCATCATTTTCGTGAGGAAGCCTCAGGTAAAACGATGTGATCCAGATCCGGTTGTTTTGTTGTAATCCGTTTTCCCTTGCAAAAAACACTATAAAATGACATTTCTTGTTCTAATATAATCAAATTTCAAGAATCCCTTGCAAAAAATAAGGTAAAGTGGACATTCGCGCGCGCAAGACGAAATCCTTCCAAAAGCTTAGTGTTCGGAGCGATTTTAACATAAAAACATCAAAAAACCAATGGTTTTTCAACAAAAAAATGTCAAAATCTCATCCCGCGCGCTCTTGCGGATTCGTAGGAAACCCAACACTTTTTAAACATTTCTGTCAAACGGGCTTTTGCGAGCAACTTTTTCGAACTTCTGCGACAACGGTTGCGCACCTGCCAGGGCCATCATCCCTGTCAAATAATACCATGCGGGACACATTCGTTTTTTCTTCGCGCGCGCACGCCGTCGTCGTCGGCCGCGGGGCCCTGAATAGTAGCCACGGTCGTCCGCATGCCACGAAGTGAAGTGTCCGAACGTCATAGGGCGGGAAGCTGGGTGTGGGTGGTGGCGAAGAGTCGTTTGGAAATTTGGTAGAGCTTGAACCGGCCCCCCCACAAAGTGGGGGTATTGCCCGCCTCCTATGAAAACCCTGGCACTGGTGAGAACGGAGTGTCCCCAGTCTTAAATGATTGTTGTTGTTGTTGTTGTTGTTGTTGTTGTTGTTGTGGTTGTTTTCTCCCGACAAACAGGCGTCTTCGCCAGATTCTCCAGAGACCGGCCCGGCTCCAGAAGTGAAGCAGCAAGATGGGGTCTGGGGCCAATATGTCGTGCTTTTTCTTGCGGTGCCGCATTTTTTGGCAACGCTGGATCCCAGGGTCCAAACGGTTATATTTATGCCGTTTTCTTTCTTCCTCGATCTTCGCTGCTGTGCCGCGCAGAGGCGGCCTGCGTGCTCGCGGGCGCGGCGCTGTCTGCGCTGAACGGCCCGCCGCGGCGCACGGGCTGAGCGGCTCAGCGGCGCAGCCCTGGGCCCATGCGGGGCGTCCCAAAAGTGCCTTGCCTTCGAGGATCGAAGGAGTTGTCATCTCTTCGCGGCGGAAGGCGGCGGAAGGTCGGCGGAGGGCAGCGGAAGTAAAACGAGGCCGCCTCCGCCGGCGGAAGCAGGCGGAAGGGCGGCGGAAGGTGGCGGAAGTAAACGATGCAGCCCCAGGATTATGATATCCCAACCTACTTTGGCCTTGATCACCGGAAATAATTTCGAGCACCACGAAAGTACCGAAGCTCGAGGCCTTCCACGTGTCGGGCCCCGGGAGGCGATGCCCCTTCGACACTGCTTCGACACTTTCCTGGGCGCTCGAAATTACTTCTGAGATGTGGTCCATACAGTCGGGGCCCTGAATAAGGAACCATTTTCGTTGGGGAGGGGCTCCGCGTTCCTTAAGTGTTTCGCAGCTTGCCTCAGGTTTCCCTTAGGTTTTCGATGGGAATCGAAGTTAAACTTATGGAACAAAGGGGCCTCGTTCCTTATTTTGGGTTCCTTAGGTCAAGGCCCCGACTGTAAGGACGATGAGAGCAACACAGCCCCAGGAGATGAAAACGTTTTTGGGTTCAGGGTCTCCGAGGTCCGCCATGTGGGGCGGCTGCCTGCCGCGCCGAGTGGTGGCTCTTCTGCGTCGGGCCTCTCGGCGGGAGGGGCTGCGTGTGCGGAGGAGGACCGGCCGAGGCGACGCCGGCCCCCTCCGCTTTTTGAGCTTCGGGGGCGTTTTCGTTGGTTCTTGGAGGTGTTCCACCCCAGGATGCCTTCCAGCGGAGAAGAGAGGACGCCATGGACAGGAAGTGTTGGCCCTCCGCGCGGATTTCTTGGATCCGCGCTGGGCCTTCCCTGGCGGCCTCCGCGCGCCAGGGAGGGGGGTCCAGCGCGGCACCCGGGGCACAGGTCGCATGCGGTTCCCCCCCCCCCCCCCACTTCGGCATTCTGGTGGCCCCGTATGCCACCACCCACCAAGCCACCCCAACCCAACCCGAAGGCTCAAATTTACCGTCGATTTCCAGTGGGGGGGGGGTCGGGGAACACCGAGAAAACACACACATGGAACCCGTACCCCCCCCCCACCCGAAATTTGGGTCTTGGGGTTGGGTCGGGGTGGTCTGGTAGGCAGTCAGTATGGGGCTCCGCCGACGACGATGCTCACAACTTCGGCACTCACAGCTGCGGCACTCGCAGCCGCATGTGGCTGGGCCCCCCGCCGGGCTGATGCGCGGAGGCCCGCCGCGGGACGCGAAGCGCCCAGCTCTTGGAACGCGGTAGCCTCAAGGTCCCTCCTCCTCCTCCTCCTCCTCCTCCTCCTCCTCCTCCTCCTCCTCCTCCTGCCTCCTCCTCCTCCTCCTCCTCCTCCTCCTCCTCCTTCCTCCGCTCCTCCTCCTCCTCCTCCTCCTCCTCCTCCTCCTCCTCCTCCTCCTCCTCCACCTCCTCCTCCTCCTCCTCCTCCTCCTCCTCCTCCCCCTCTCTGCCTGAGGCTCCCCCAACGGTCGACGCCCGTCTCAGCGTTACTGCGTGTGCTGGGCATCTTTTCCTTGCAAGTTGCGCTGATCCCGTTACATTTCCGCAGCGTTTGCGGCGTCATTGGCAGATGCATCGCCGCTGTTGATCTATGCTTGCGATCTCGGTGCCATGTTGCGCCCCCCTGGGGGTCCTACCCCGCCTTGAGCTTTCCACTCTTGCTTGGCCCGCGCCAGTTCGAAGCTCGATCGCCGCGCCCCCCGCCAAACCAGCGCGAATGTTTGACGCACGTGAGCTCCATGCAGCGGACCGGTCGGCTGTCAGTTTCACCAGCGTGCGCTGTTTTTCTGTTCGTGCAGTTTGTATTGTGGCGGTTTCGATGGCGGCCTTTTCCAAGCGCTACGCTGCTGTCCGCTGCGTCGTCACGCCAATCGACCGCGTTTCGGCCAGGGGTCTCGAGCAGAGGCCTCCCCCCTTCCGCGCCCCCGAAACGGCTTCGGGAGGGTTCTGAGAGGGTCCATCTGGGCCACAGGAGCCGACAGGAAGCTGGCAGACATCGTGGTGTCGTGGAAGCGTTATTTTTGTCACTTGGAGTCGTCTTGGAGCGGTCTTGGGGCCTCTGGGAGTCATGCCGGACGCCGTCCTGATCTGTTTTGGGCTCTTCGAGTCATTTTGGAGGCAGTCTTGGGCTATCTGGGGCCCTCTTGGAGCCATCTTGGGCCATCTTGGGCTCCCTAACCTCTCCTGGCCCCCCGCTGTGCAGATCGATGGGAGCCGGCGGCGGGATGGGGAAGGGTAAGCCCCTCCCCCAAGGGGAACGAGGAGGTTGGTGGAGTAGGGGGCCACATGCGAACCCTACCCTTGCCCCCCACGATTTCTGAGGGGGAGGGTGGGGGGTAGGGAGAGGGTTCGCATGTGGCCCCCTATGGAGGAACCTCCCCGAAACACTTACGCCCAGAGGGCTGGTCGGATTGGATTTTCTTCCCCCCTTTAGTGCCCCTGCCCGCACCCAGCTGGCTACGCAAGACGGGCGGGCCGATTCCATGTCACGGAGATGGTTCGGTATGACCGTGCGTCCGCCAACTGGGGCCGACGGTGGCAACAGTGACACTTCGAGGGCCGAATCATTCAGGAATCGTGCTCTCGCTCCAGGCATCCTTGTATTTACTTTCGAATCGCGCTCTCGCCTCGGACTTCCTTACACTTCAGTCTTCACGCTTCGCGTATCCCCACCAGTCTGGGTTCCCACGGTGGACGTCGCCCCCGAGTTCTTGCTACTGCTCAAGTGGTTCATCCTTTGGCAGTTCATCACGGTCCTCCCGCAGGGTGGTCCTGAGGACTCGACCAGTGCTTGCAGCTGTACTCCCCCGACTTCAGTGTAAGGCAAGTTGCAGGCTATGGACTCAGAAGACATGGCCAGCGGTTCCTCGCCTTGGACCGGACGTTCTTCTGCCCAAGAGCGTCCTATGAGTCACTGCGAGTGGGGCCGCCATCTGTGCCCCTCTTTCTCCTGCCGCCGCGTGCCCTTGTGCCTGCTGTGTTTCTCCTCTTCCTTGGCCTCCTGTTCGTTTCATGGACGGTGCGGCCACCCCAGCCACTCCGTGCCGCTTCAGCGCAGCGTGCCCGGGCCATACGCGCTGTTCGGTACGGTCAGAGCCTGGCGCCACTTGTGCGACAGCTCCTTCCGTCCCCACTTCGGGCCTGTGTTCCGATTTCGGGCCGCCAGCGTCCTAATGAGGGTCATTTTGTCCCTGGCACGTGCACCTGCTGCCGTGGCATATGCGCCTCTGCAGCTAATTATCTCGCCCTGTGCCCCAGCCGAGTCCGTCCCGCTTCTTGGATCTGTGCTTGTGACCCGCCAATCAAAAAAAACATATCCCCACCAGTGATACTTGCACGCTGGCAGTTCGACTCAGTCTCAGTTGCCCTTGCCACCCGCCGGTCCGCCGCTGGGTTGCCGCGTGAGGCCTCGGTTAGCCGCGTTAGGCGTGGCCTGTCTCCGCTGCTTCGCTTAATTCGTCGCTGCGTAGCCCGCTTTGACCTGACTCGCCGCCGGCGCGCTCGCCCGCGGCCGCTGACTAAAAAAGTATCCCCACCAGCCCATTCAGACACGCTGCCGATGAGAGCTGACGGGGAACGGGCGGACGAGATCCTGAAGCGATGCCCAGGCGAGTTGCCTTCTTCAGGGAAGTGTAGAAGCTTATAGTGCAACATCTGTTCAAAGCGGGAGGACGAAGAGAAGGATGAGGAGCAGGAGGAGGAGGAAGAGGAGGAGGATGACCAGTGTAAGACCAAGAGTCATCAACGATGTTGACACAAATCCTCCTTCCAAGCTCCCTCTCCATAGGCCCCTACAATGGTTCATTTCCATTGAGGGAACTGCTTCGTTGGAATATAGCCGTTTGAAGACCCTGAAGTTTGTTCTCGGGATTCCAACGCCACGGATCAACCTGACAATTGCGTCGAGACTGGCGGCTCCCCCCCCCTTGCGTTCGCGCGCGCGGCCCACCAGGAGACAGCTCCGAGGCGCGGTCCATCCTGCGAACGGAGGTCCGCTCGGGGCGGGCGCCATGCCATCACACTTCGCGCGCTGCATGCAAGGCAGGAGCGGCGAGGGCGAGGCACAGAAAAGAAAGGCGTGCGTGTACGTGTCTTCTTCGCGGGTTCCGAGAGTGTGGGTTGCTCGAGCGTTCGTAACTCGAGGCTGGTCTCGCGGGTCCGTGTTCCTGTGCGTCCTTCGCGGGCTCCCTGGGGGACACCAGCCGTCGTCGTCCGCAATATCGTCGTCGGCGCCAGGGCGAAGCCGTCAAGCTGCTGAGGCTTGCGGGGGGGCTGGGAAGAATGGTCGGGGCCAGCCCTTCCATTCTTTTCAGTCCCCGGCTGGCTTCCCTCCGAGTTCCAGCCCAGGGCGACCTCATCACAATTGTTCTGGTTTTCCCTTGCATCGGCGTCACCCGAGCATACTAATACTATGTGTGCGTCGCCCCCCCTAGGGGCGACGCGCGAGCCGAGACATTTTACAGTATACGCGCCGTGGCGGGCGCTTTCTGGCCACACCGCTCGGGAGACGATATACTACAAAATGGGTATACTATATGCTAGGGTCGGACGCTCGCCTCCAAGGAGGACATCTAGTACTATTTTATATTTTTGTGTGCGTCCCATCCGAGTTCCAGCCCAGGCGACCTCATCACAGGTGTTCTGGTCTTCCCTTGTAAGTTCCTCCAGCTCTGGCCACTTCGACTTGCACGGAGTTTCCAACATCCATTCCCTCCAGCTTCTCTGCAGGGTGGCTCCGTCCGCGCTCCAGGCTTCGGTCGGGCCTGTCCCTCCACAGGAGGAATATTCAACAATAATCAAAAATAGTCAGGGAACTATGTTTTGAGTATTGACTGTTTTTTTGGGGGCATGTTTTGAGTAATTCAAATTTTTCGTCCAAAATCTGGGGACATGCCCGACCTGACATCATTTCCTGTTGTAAGCTCCTGCGTGGAAGCCGGCAGCGTCTTCCGGAATCTCGCCGCGATGGCTTGTTGGGACCATCTCGGCGTCAGCTCCATTTGGGCGATCCGAACGCCTTCTTTAGCCATCCGCAGCGTTCTGCGGGACCCCCTCCTTGGCCAATTTCGACGGCCTCAGGGGCCCAGTGGCCTATTTTAGCATTTCTGAGGGCCTGGGACGTGCGCTGACGAGGTCCCCACTCTCCCTCACATGAGATTTTCGGTGGGGGAAGCGGGTTATGTGACAGCCAAACATTTCACACGCATTCTCAATACCACCCGGCAAGTGGGGATCGACGGATTTTGTGGTTTCTCGGTGGGGGCGTCCATGCAGACTCGCGCTTCCAGTCTTTCCCATCTCCTTTCCCTCATCCTGCATGCTGCAGCCTGTCCTTCCTCTTGCGCAGCTTTGTTCGAGGTGTGGCTGGACAAGACGCGCAACACCAGCGTTTTGACCTTAGTGGGGAGGGGCGGGGGAGAGTCTGGAGCGAGAGGGGTAGCAATCCAGGTGCGGTCGCTCTACATGTGATATTCTATCCCTCCCACCCATTCCTTCTCACTGCATTGGATCCTTTATTCTCCGCCGAGTAGGGTGCCCTAGACGATCTTGATGCCCGAATGACTGTCGCAGGACTTGGTCCATCGTTGGCCGTGCAATCAGCGAGGGAGGCGGGGGATACATGTGAAGGATATGGGGGAATAGGAGGAGGAGAGGAGGAGGAGGAGGAGGAGGAGGAGGAGGAGGAGGAGGAGGAGGCGGCGGACCAGTTTAAACCCAAGACTCATCAACAATGTTGTAATGAACCCTCCCTCCAAGTTCCTTCTTCATAGACTGCGATAATGATTCATAGAATTCGAAGAGTCGCGTTGGAAGACAACCGATCGAAAATCTCCAACCGTGCCAAAGCACTATTCCTGGGACTCCAACGCCGCGAACCGCGCATCCACGTCTCCATTGCGACCTGACAATCCTATTTCGTGTCAGAACACCGTTTCCGTGACGTGAACACCGCACATCAATGACTGTCGCGCCTCGACAACCTTCACTCGTGCCAGAACATCTCATTTGGTACGTCAACCACAAGAACCCTTGACACAGTCGTGAACTGTCGAGACGGGTGTGCGCGGCCCTGAGGCGAGAGCCACACTTCGAGGAGGAGCCGCCCTCCATCCGTGAAGCTCTTGCACACGCTTCTGGCACGCACGTGCGCGGCGCTCCGCAGCCTCCGGCTCACGCTCTGGGCCTGGGTGCAGCCGTGGAGTGGGGCTTCCTCCTCCTCCTCCTCCTCCTCCTCCTCCTCCTCCTCCTCCTC